CCCCCGCCTCCGCCGCCTCCGCCCTTCTTGTGCTTGTGCTTGTGGTGTTTTTCGGCATGGCGGCGTCTGTGATGTGTTTGGTGATGATCGCGATGAACATTCAGCAAATTCACATCTTCCGTGTCACAGTCCTGGCATATGGCTACAGCCAAAGGCAAAAGGAAAAGCGCGATGGCGTGCATGGCCTTGAAAACTGCTGCCTTTGAGTTGCAAAATGCTATTGAATAGATACAAAATGCAAACTCATGCAACACAAACACAAGCTTGCAATGAAACAAACCTCAGTACAAATACAAAGCTGTTACTGGCTCGCTCTCTTGGGGCTCTAACTTTAGATGAAGACCTGTCATGCTCTGGTCCGTCATGCTCAGAGGGAGGTGCCTCTTCGCTCTGGACGGATGGATAGAAAAAAGACAGATCCGAACCCTGGGCAGACGCACCCACACATCAGCCGCATAGCTGTACTCACATTCCTGTCGCGAGAAACTCGCGAGAAACTCGCGAGGAACTCTGCGAAGAGAGGTGAAGAAATGCCCTTTGCCAGTGCCTTTTGCATGAACAAGAAGAAACCAAAGAAAGCTGGAATGATGTCCAAGAATCTTCAAGTCAATCATGATTCCATCAGAATCTCGTCCCAAAAACCACTCAGAATCACGCGAAATCAGCCCAATCAGGCGTCCGGTCCGACTTCTCAAGCTCTTTACAAATTCAGCCCAACAAATCATCACCTTCACCCACCCACCACCTTCGTCTCGTCTCCGCTCACGCTCGTCTCCGTGAAAACGCTGGTCTCCTTCGCGCGTCTCGGTCGACGATTCTCCGAGCTTCCGGGCTGCAACCTCCGGCGCCCAATACTCCGGCGATCCAATGACTTCGGTCAGGAAGGCACCCGCCTCCCGCCGTGAGGCGCGACGAGCGCTTCGCGCGAGCGAGCGAGACGAAGGAGACCAGTGGTGGAGCATATTGGGAGACCACAATGGGAGAGCACAAAGGTGTGTTACACTATGTTGATGGGGTGCTAACAGTGAGACATGTTGAGATAGACATGATATAGTGCTAAGAAGGTGCGTTGTTTTGCTTCGCGAAGCTTCTCGCAGCTACGGCTGCTTCGAACCATTGCCAAGCTTGCAGCCTGGTAGCAGGGATGTTCAGGGCAATTTTCGCCTCCGGCACCCTGCTGTCCAGAGACTGAGGATCTAAATAGATCTAAGACCACCATCCAAAACCTCCCAGGGATAAACCCACGACATACTTCTGCCACCTCCACCTCCTCGGAGGCCAAAACACGTGATATCTACCGCGGAGGCCGATCTCCCCGTCCCTCCACTGCCGGCGCTCAGTGCGACTGGAGGCTCCATGCAGGAGCTGAGTGTGGCTGGATCCAACAAGGAATCGACCCTTTGGGGGGCCCAGATCCTCCGTCCCTCCTCTCGATCCAAAACCACGAGACGACGCCGTGGGGCACGGCGTCTCTCTCGCCGTGGGGCGCGGCCCGTCCGCCACGTCGTCCGGCAACGCGGGGTGTTCCACGCGAGGTTCGGCGATCCCTTTGGAGTCTGAGAGTCTGGGAAATCTCTCCGGCCTCCACGCTTCGGGCCGTCGAGTAGAGATCTGCAATCACCAGCCTCGCCCGGTGGCGAGAAAACGCCGAGGTCGCTCGTAGGGAGGGTGAGGATGAGCCACCGATCGCAAGCTCTAAAGAGGTCTGGGGGGTGGACGAGGAGACCGCGGTTTTTCCCCATGATGAAAAAAGAGGATTCGATTCACAGGTCATCACAGGTGTAGCTTAAATCATTTGAGGTCTCCAGTACTACAGTTAGTTACTACAGTTTGGTGTCTGAAACTCACACCCACGCTGTGATCGGCTTCCTCTGAATCGGCGACTTCCGAGTGGCCGGCGTGAACTTTTCCTTCAATATGTCGGAGGTGGTCACCACCAAGTTGTCCGGCGTAATGCCGCGATGCGCCACATCTGGAGCAACAGCGAGCTCAGCGGGCAGCGCAGCTGGCAAATGGGCAGCGCGCAAAAACAGCTTGGGGTGGGCAAGGGCAGAATCAAACCGAACTGCTTTGGACGGTGGTCTTTTTCATGATGTCATGATGTCCAGACTGTGTCCAGTGTTTTGCGGCCCAACCCTTCTAAGCATCTTCTCACCTTCTAATTGTTGTTCTTTAAAGCTCTCAGCAAAGCATGTTCATCTTGACGGTTGTTCCAGTGACGTTTGTTTGGATTCTTCATGGTCCGCAGTCGGTCAGGAGTCATCAGCCTCATGGCCCTACGAATTGGACGAATTTGTCTGCGGTGTCTCACTGGGGCGTCCAGCGATTTGCATGAAGATACGCCAACGCTGACAAGAGCTGATCCTTATCATGAGAGATGTTGAAAAAGCTGGCAGATTGAGATGATACCAGGATTCTCCTTGAAGAACTGCAATTTCAAAAGTGCCAAGAACATCCAAGAACCCCCTTTTGTGGCCCCTTCAACCCCACTTTTGCTCCAACTCAGTTCGCCACTGCTGTGTAGGCCGCGGTCGACACCGGTAATCCTCTGCGAGAGAACCTGCGCCCCAAAACCCTCGGCCACCGCGATCCCGGTCGGTCGCGGCCGCCTCGCTCCGGTCCAACCGCCACCGCCCGGGAGGTCCAGGGAGGTCCGAGGTCCACCTGATCCGCTCCACCGGAGGTTGCGACGGGTCTCGAAGCGAAGTCCGAAGTCGTCCCTCCGGGTCTCCCAACTTGCTGGCGGTGAGCACGGCTTGCCGCAAGCTGCAGGGATACCTGGCCGCCGTGGTTTGGTTGGGCTGGCCGCGGCCACCCAGAAGCCGCGGGGCGGGGGGCCAGAAGGTGCGCGGGGCGAGGGAAGAGAGGTGCCAAGAGGTGCCAATAGGTGCCAAGATGCCAAAAAAGAAGAGACGGCCGTTTTTGTGTGGATTGAACAATAAAAAGAAAAAGAGAACCTGGAACCAACCTGGAACCTCCTGGAAGGTGAGACGTGTCCGGGATGCGGTGAGACGTGCCAACAAGGATTCAAGTTCCATGGCTCGGACAGCATACTTTCGCCGGAAAGCACGAAAGCTGTCGCCTGGAGATGACAAAATACACAAAGTAGTCATCCACGAAGACCGTGTGTGTCTTGATCTCAGGGGAGTGCCGAGGCCACTCCAGGCGGCCACACAGGAGGACATGAGACGCAGAGCGTCAAGGGAGTGGTCGGAACAACGAAAGTCCGGATCCCTCATCAGCCTCCTTTCAAAGGTACGACTGGACCCCTCATCAAAGTGTGTCCAATCTCTTTTTCAGAGGGTCTGTGGATCCATCATGTCGGCTCTTAACTAATAAACCCGCCCAAATTGAAGAGGAGGGTAATGAGTGCAGCTTCTTACAGGCATCTAAGGGGGCCACCAAGTTCTGGTGGCTCATCTGAGAGAGCTTCTTCACCTCCTGGAAAGCTATGAAGACGAAGGGCTCTGCAGCTCTGAGCTACATCTACTGTATTCTGAGCTACATCTACTGTATACTCCTTAGCTTCATCTAGCTTTCTCAAGCTCTGATCTAGCTACAGCTTGATCTAGCTGTATACTCCTCAGCTTGATCTTACCTTCTTTAGCTTTTCAAGCCAACTGTGCACCCTACAGGTCACACTAATCACACCCAAGCCGGTCGAGGGTCTCAGGGCATCACTGCTCATCTGCTCGTCGATGTCTAAACACGGCTCTCGCTGAAGCAAAGGACCAGGTTTTACGAAATCCTTGGACTTGTAGGAACATGTTTCTGATTCAGCGAACATGAGAAGCCCGGGCTCTTGTAGATGCGCATTCCAGCCAGATCAATTAGGGAGAGATCCAGGAACGAAACGAAAGACACACTGAAGTTGACCCATCTCAAGTAAGGTTAAACCCCAAGGATTCAAGTGAATCCACCAAACACTTGCAAGTCGTTTCGGCGAAAATCCTCCCCCGCTCCGTCACCTCAACTATTCATCAAAACGATATCTGTAATGTCCGTCTTCCCCACCACAGAAGACGGTGACACCACAATCCTAGCCCTAGCCCTCCGCGACCCACTTTTCAAAGATTTTCGGTTGACATGGCCTTGTAGTTTCAAACTCCTGAAACCCAACAAAATCAACCATGAGAACTTCGCTCGAACTGAACAGGAAAAAAAGAAGACTAAAAGAATTGTTCCTTCGATTGCACTAAAACCTAAAGGTGTTTCAGAAGCCTTTCAAAAGTAAACAACCTGTTCAAAAGTAAAGCACCTGTTTACTTTTCAACGTCAAGGCACCCTGTTCAAAAGTAAAAAAACCTTCAATCCAATGGTGGGCTCCGAAAACCGGACCCGCCCGGTGGAGCGGCCCTCCGTGGTCCCCTCCTGCGAGAGGAGCAGCCACGATTTGCCCCGGTGGGACTTCTTCAGCGTGGAGTTGGCCAGACCTTCGTTGGGGGAGACGAACCAAAGCCAAAGCCCCCTGGTTTTGAGACCGCTCCAGGTGGGTTTATCCGTAAAAATGGAGTTTATTTGTTGGGTAGATCATATCATTACAATTCATGACCAGCAACAGTGCATGATGATGATTGATTAGTACAGGCCTTTTCCCCACACAGTGATCATCTTTTACCAACTGTTACAGGTCATAGGACACCCCTGGTACTACTAAAATGCGGGGACGAAGCCAGGCACAAACCTTCAAACGAGCTCTGCAACGTCTGTGAGGTCCGCAAGTTCTTCGGGAGGTCAGGTGGGGTCTGCCGTCGCCATGCGCATCCGTGAAGATCAACTCGAAAGGAACACATCGGTGTAACTGCAAAGGAGCCAGGCGGAACAGGTTGAAAGATCTGCTTCTCTCCACCAACGGATCTCTGGTAACTTCGAAGATGAACACAGTTTTCACAGCAATTCCAGACCGTTTCCGTCAGCTGACCAACCGACTTAGGTTTGAAGGTAGAAGATCTTCCGTTTGATTTGCGCCCAAGGTCCAGACTGCCCCACCAGCTTGTGGCGTGACTGAGTCGAGCCAACGACCAACCCATGCAGCCATGACAGTGTCGTGACATGACGTTTGTGATGACACCTTAGACTCTCAGATGCGTGACGTGACTGAACCCAGACAAGCCCACCAAATGATATCATGCGTTCCTCTACCAAACTGAATATTAGCATGCGTTAGAAGCAGCGCAACAGCGCAATGGAGGCTTGCATGGCAACCACGGCAACATGATTGAGGATGAGTCTTTGCACGTGACGAGACTCCAAGCGTGATGCCGGACATCATCAAATCCAGCGAACACATGGTCACCGCTACAGTTAAAAAAAGAGAAACGCTTCATAGAAATATGTAGAAATCATCTTGGATGTCAAGAGTCAGCTTCGGATTGAAGATGTTTGAACCATGGTTTTCATGAAACAAACCCCTTTGCTTTGGCCGGGGTGTTGCAGCTCCGGTGCCTCCGGTGCATGAAAGCAACCAGCTCAGCCCCCACGCTCCACGAGTTTCACCACCAACCCCGAGGTCGGCAGGTCCGGTTTCTGGCGAGTGACGAGTGAGGCGCTTCTGGGGGAGGAGGGACAGGTGAGGAGGTTCACATAGGTTCATAGGTTCACTCTTGATGACTAACCCACCTTTGAAAAACCTCATAGCAATGGCCTTCAACCCACTAGCGATGGCCTCCAACCTAATAGCAATGGCCTCCAACCTACTACCGACCCAACGGAAGCGTCCAAACATCTGGGTACTTGCTCACGCGTCCGCTTGACGGACGAGTTTCCTACCGCAAGTGCTCCAGAAACATAGCTTCAAAGAAAAGCAAACGATGGAATGAACACCTTGAACGCACCGAACGAAGTGCATACATGTACTGCATAGAGGAACAACCAAATCCCACATGAAGTGGTTCCTTCCAGCGCGCAGGTCGAAAGAACCCTTTTTTCTTGGCCAAATGCTCTTCAATCAAAAGTTCCCATCGTGGCCGGGGCTCCGCCAGATTTGAGAGACTGCAAGTTCAACAGCCTTTTCGAGTTCAACAGCTTCTCCTGCATCCCTCTTTTTGTTGAACCCGACTCTTGCTCAAAAATGCGACGGTCTTACCACCATCAGTTCAGACGAGCCGGCTGACAGCCTTCCTGCCACTGGGTTTTACACTAAATGGCTCACCGGGGCCGTGACTTAAAGGCCACTTGACACTTTACAAGGCCACTGGAGCTTCGCAAGAATGCTTGAGGACTTGAATTTTCGAACTCCAAAACATTGAGAACACCGGCACATACGCCATTGTTCCCCAACCCTGCACATCAAATCGGATCTCTTTCATTTAATTAGATCGAAACCTCTTTGATCAGCTGATATGATGCTCTGCCCACCACGCTGGAGACTGCTGTTCTATAGAGCGGGGACAGAAGTAAGAAGGTGGAGAGATAGAGCCATCTTGCGCTGACCCAGTCGGGTTTCATGCCTTCCTCGAGCTCACACAAGTACTTTGGCCAGTATCCATCAATCTCCATGTCATAGGCAAAGCTCTGATGGACATCCATCCTGTGATCCTGCTGGAACTTCTCAGCGACTCTGGTCCAGTGAAGCCTCGTCTCATCATTGCCAAAGGTGAAGTGCTTTTCAACGGTCAGCCTTGTGACTTTGTACTCTTCTAGCCCATCAAAGCTTTGGCTGACATCTCTCCAGGAACCGAACTCAAAGTTTTGTCGGAATGTTGATGTCACAACCATCTCGTTGTATATCTCAACTCGTTGCTGGCTGATTCCCTGGGCATCTGTCTCGTCAATGATGCGAGTTCGCACTTCCCAATGGTAGTTGTCCACCTTCATCCAGATCGAAGGAGCTTTGGCTTTGAGAGCGTTCAAGGTGTCGTAGAGAAGCACTAGATTGTCCACGGTGTTTGCCAAGTACTTTCGAGCGGAAGAGAAGAAAAACTCGACAAAGTAGAGGAGGAAGGATAACACCAAGCAAACCCAGAACGAGGCACTGTAGTTGCCGATGAAGAAATCGCAGGCTCCATCACAGTGCCGCCAAACGTAGTTGTGGCCTGAATTGTAACAGAACTCCTCGATTCGTACATGACAAATGACCCGCGAGACCAGCAGGCCCCAGAGCAAGATAGTGATCATCCAGCACTTCCAATGGCCTGTGGCGCGGAATCCCTTGCAGCTCACGTGCCTGTCCGTGCCTGCTTGTCCTGCCTCCTGCTTGTCCAGCTTGGCCTCCTCCGACATCCCGGACCTCCCGCGTCTGCACGGCTCGGGGGGCAGGTCTCCGGGGTCTGCTCTGAAAATGGCTTCCAGGTCCAGCTTGGAGAACGTGGCCAATTCCAGGAACCGACCGAGACTCGGAACGCGCGTTCTGTTATTACTTAAAAAGGGTCGGCTCTTCACCTCTTTTTCACCCAACGAAACATAACTAAACACATCTTCCAAATTCTTCCTCATTCTTCCTCACCCTCCGAAGCTTGTTCCCCACCTAGAGCTCCCCTTATGTCCCCTTTCATGTTCCTTTCCTTTCCCGACCAACCTTTCGCCGCGCCGCGTGGCCCATCATCCGACAACGCTCCAACAAGCATGTCGGGGCACCGAAGGTTCGTGTCCACGCCGCTGCCGTCCTCTGCGGTAGGGTGTCGGAGACGACCGAAGAGACCTGAAGAACGATTCGGCGACATATATAGATACTATAGTAGATGTTGAATGGAGAAGAGCCGGGCAAAAGTGCGTGGCCGAGTATTTGAGAAGTAAGTCTAGATAACATCTGAAAGGCTGTTTTATATAGAACTGCTATGAACTGCTGGAAACGGGGTTTTAGATCAACGTCCATGTATTAGTTGGCGGGTTGAAGTGTCCCCCCTAGAAAAGGATCTGATTTTATCAGATTTGCTGCCAAGAATCGGACGCCTCTAGATCGAATTCAGCAACACTTGTACATGCATTGTTTGTTGTGCCACCAAAAAAACAACCAAAGCCAAACCAAAAAAATGGCAGGTCACCATAGACCAGGACCTTCCAACAGGCGGTTCTTGGACATCCCCTCAACCTCTAAGAGTTTCTAAGAGGCTATTTACAAGACAGCTCTTGGAAGGTCCTGGTAGCGATCAAGCTTTCAGCCTCCAAAAGAAGCCACATGAGGTCGGCCACTGCGATCTCGGCCCGGCGCCCCCATCGGCCACCGCGACCGCGACCGGTGCCACTCGACGGGTGCCCCCAGCGTTGCTCCATCTGCTGAAGCTGCTTTTGCCGTTGCTCGTGGAGGAGCTGCGGCAAACTCATCGCCTCCCAAAACGCGCACGCGCGCGTTTTTAGGGGCAGGAGGGGCGACGGGCGCGGTAGAACCGCGACAAGGGGACGGACTGGGCAGGAAGGTTCCGGGAGGTTCTTCTGGGGGACTTTTGGTGATCAGATGAGGTCACAGAGGCGAATGGGAGGTACAACATGGCTGGGCATCTCTGGGGGTGCTCGGAGAGGAGTCCGGCAGCAACGCAACCAGAATGGATCTCGGAAAATGGGGCCGAGTGGTCGCCCATGGCGTCCTGCAGCTTGTGCACCAGGAGTTAAAAGAAAGGGGAGTGGAGTGGAGTGGAGTGGAGTGGAAGGCAGGCAGGAGTCAGAGTAGCACCTTTTTCCATATCTAAAGACTCTCACCTGACAGGTGGGGAAAAACCTTCTGAGAGAACTGTCACATCCATCCACATGGCCTTGCCATGGGCGGCGTTGAGATTCTTCAGGGCCTCCTGGCAGCCAATGCTCGTGGAAAGACTCGAACACATCGGGGTGCGAACACCTCGCAGTGGAAGAACGCTTCGAAAGCCGAAGGCCTCCTGCTGCGTCAAACGCAGGAAGAGCTTTAGAACTGACCGGTAGAAGGTGATCATGTTCGTCTACAAGTATAGGGTTGATGCGACTTGGAAACCCCCAAACACCGTCCAAGCCACGCCATTCTTCCCACCCAAACGGTCCGGCCCGGCCGTGCCGGTCCTCACGGTTCTGTCGAGCCTCAGCCTCGCGCGTGAGCTCCTCACAGCGGGTGACTGTGTTGATTTTGAGAGTCCCCAAAGGTCCAGGCCGACCAAACGTCACAACCTGGTCCTCGAAAACGTCATGGAGCAGTGTTCTTTCAATGATCAACTCATATCAACTCCAGTAGAATGAGATCTGTTGACCTGTAGGGAATTGATTCAACTGATCAAATCTTGATCGGATCACAACTGATCGAAACTAGCATGGAAATCTATTTCAAATCTGATCAAACCTGCAAGCTACCCGTCCTCATCCCAGGCAGAGCCACTCATTTTCACATCACAGGTGTAGACGATGCCGAAATCCTGAGAACAAATATTTCCAAAACGTACTAGATCAGTTTCTACATTTCCCTTAGAAGTAGTCAACTGGCTGGAGTACGCACTTCACACCTGGTATGGCACCCGAGGTCCTTGACCCCCAGCATCCTTCAGCCAGGTTGTGCAGCTTCAGAAATTCATGCACTTGTTCACGTTCACCCAAGTTCAATTAGACTTGGTACCCCTTTCCTGCTTATCCACGAATTGCTCCAAGGAAACCAAAAAAAAAACTATATATCTTGAAAACATCCCACTGCTGATCCAAGAACCACCAAACACCTATAGCGCTCACATTCCATCTCACTTCACCCTCACCTCACCCTCACCTCACGCCTGTCCCCTCACCTCATGCGGTCCTCCCGCTCTAGGGCCCCACACGCCCTCGCCCAGCAGCTTGCCAAAGCGGTAAAGCTCCCGAAAGTCTGGCCTCGGAGGAGTCGGGGAGGATGGAGGGGTCGAGGAGGGGTCGAGTGACGCTAATTGAATTGGCTGGTTGGAGGAACCTAATGAAGATACGAGATGATAGGAGAGTTCATGAAGAGACCCATGAACTTAACCCAAAAACACACCCACACGTTGCCGTTGCAGAATCTGGGTCAGGTCTCCTAGAGTTCCATTGAGCACCTCTCGATTTCCTCAGCCACCACTCGCCACCGCCCCGAAAAACCACTCGCCACCGTCTCCGGTTCTCGGTTCCCGTGGGCCCCGGGCGCTTTGGTCTCGCGCACCACGAAGGGCCCTGGCGTCTCGCGGCGTGCGTGGGGCGTGTGGGGCGCTTTGGTGGTCGGTCTGACAGAGGTCGGTCTTTGGCCACGCGTGAGGTGCGAGGCTTTTTCTGCAAAAAACAAGGTTAGCTCAGTATACCTTGGGATTCTCCCATATCTTTTTTGGCATAGGTGATGTGTCTAAGTATAATCCCATGGTTTCTAAAATTTGGATCTGTACTTAACTTAAGTATACTTAATTGAGTAATGTCATCGTCGGATTAATCAACGCCCCCCCCCCTAGAAGGTCAACAAGGTCAACAAGGTCTGAGATTGGAGGTTTTGGAGATCACATCCCCCTAATAGTGGGGATGACCTGATGATGAAAGGGAATTTGATTTGGAAGAACTGGAATGAAAGGGAATTAGTATTTGGAGGAATTGAGATGAAAGGGAATTAGTATTTGGAAGAATTGGAACGAAAGGGAATTAGTATTTGGAAGAATTGGAATGAAAGGGAATTAGTATTTGGAAGCATTGGAATGAAAGGGAATTAGTATTTGGAAGGGTTGGGATGAAAGGGAATTAGTATTTGGAAGAATTGGAATGAAAGGGAATTAGTATTTGGAAGCATTGGAATGAAAGGGAATTAGTATTTGGAAGGGTTGGGATGAAAGGGAATTAGTATTTGCATGGAAGAATTGGAATGAAAGGGAATTAGTATTTGGAAGAGCTGGGATGGAATGATGAGATCCATGAGAGCCCAAATACTAATTCCCTTTCATCATGAGGTCCATGAGAGCTCATCATGGATGGGGTTGACTAATAGGGGGGGGTACCCCACTATTAGAGGGGGGTAGGGGGTGTATGGGGGGTACCCTTTCTGAGCTTCTCAAATTGCAGATTTTGATAGAGTTTTAATAAGGGAAAATGAACGAATTTCCTAGAGAGTTTTTGGAAATTCTAGGAAAACTGTTGCTTTGGGAGAGCATTGGTAATCAATCAGAAGATCAGTTTCACCATGGCAAGACAAGAAAATATTGACAAGGCAAAAAGAACAAAACTAATTGAACACACATATAAATATATTTTTCCTGGGGGACAGGGGATAGACTAATAGGGGGGGGGGTTCAGCCAAGCAAAATTTTTATTGGAGGGTGGTGACTGTGGAAATTCATAGTTCAAATTAGTTTATTATTGGGGCCTGAACGCTGGGTAGACTAATAGGGGGGGTTGGTTAATCCTATGTTGACATTACAGTATAATTGAGTACAGTACAGTACAGTATAGTAAATTGAGTACATTATACTATACTTAATTGAGTATACATGACACAGTATACTTAATTGTCATGTAGCTACACCCGGCACCAACAGTTCCTTCGCTTCGATCAGTGGATCGCTTCCTCCTCCTTCGCTTCGCTCGGCCGCTCGGAACTCGGCGGAAGGCTCGGCGCCTTCCTCGTAGGGCGCATCCTGAATGGGGTGGGGTCCACAAGCGCAGGAGGCCAAGAAGACCTGCCAGGTGCTCGGCCGCAGGTCTTAAGCCGGAAGAAAAACGAAAAAAATGCCGTCGTTCACGGACTCAAACGTCATGTCTCGGAACCGAGTTCTTGATCACACAAAAAAGTAATCGTTCAATGAAATCGGCTTTTGGATATGCGAATGTTCCTTCTTTCACAGTCCGCTCTATAGGATAAGATATTCATTGATCAAGTTCAATGCCCCATGGCTCGCAACACGACGTGACGAGTGACGCCCACCCACCCACCGCCCACCCCCCACCGCCGCCCCCACCACCCGGCGCCCCCACCACACGCGCCTTGCGGCAGATGTTGTCCACCATCGCAGCTCGACGACGTACATGGCCATAGGCCTGGCCGGGTGATGCCGGGTGGAAGATCTCGTGCACCACCCCGGCGGTGGCGGGGCGGAAGAAGGGTGATCTCTGAAGATAAAACTGAAAGAGTACAGTACTGGGACCGCTCAGTTCAACCAGCGCTGAAGTACAGTGTCAGTGTCAACCAACTGAAGATGACCCACGTGCAATTATACTACCGGTATTATAATAAAAAATATCAAATTAAACGAGAAACGGGGAGGCTCAAAAGGAGGATGTGGGATCCAACCAAATGCTCCGGATCAACGGGATCTGGTTCCATCTTCGACCTCACTCCGAACTTGCAACGAACTAGTCCACACTCTCTTGGACCTCTTCTCGTCAGTCCGAACGAACGTCCACAGGAGGACTTGGTCGTCACCGCATTCGGCTTCGCTTCCTGCAGGAAACGCTCAGGAGTTCCACCGGGCACCAGCCGGTGGAAGGGCCCATCCTCGGTTGAGGACGCGTGGCGCTGGCGCGCGCGCGAAAGGCGGCCACCACGTCGGAAAGCGGTGGCGAAGCCCAGGGTGAACCACGAAACGTGTTGACCATGAAACGTGGCTAATTAAAATAGAAAAACCGTGGAGGTATAGAGGACCATCCAGAGGGAGGGGATAGGGTGCTTGTGCTGGAATACATGCTTTAACTGACTCAACAGTGCTGAACGTGGAGCTTCAGCGCTGTTCTCTTCCACACGACCCTCGACCTCCCCGCCGTCCGGGGAACGGGCGGCTCCAGACAGAACAGGAGTGAGGTCGGAAGAAGGACCACCGTCTTCAAGACAAGAAACGACACAGGCATCCATACAAATCCATACAAATCCTATTGGCTGTGAGTCATGGCTGCCACCTGCCACCACCTGCACCATGAGAAGTTGACATCCCGTAAAGAAGGAATCGGTCATCGGTTCGTTTGACCCAGGAATCCACAAGTCCACCAGGGTGAAATTGACCCATGGCCATATGGTGTTCCACGCACAAACCCCCTTCCAGCCTCCCACATCACTAACTGAAGATCCCTGTGGAGCTGCTGCGCAACTTTGTTTCTGAGATCCAAACCCACAGGTGGCTGGGATATCGCCCACTGTGGCATGGCCTTGGCACACGAAAGAACGCGACAGCCGCGACTCAGCCGCGGCTCAGCCGCTCCACTCACTTGGAGTCTTGAAGACGAGGCTTGCGCTACTGGCCATTGACAAAGAACGTGCGTGAACATGCAGCTTGGCCAAACGGGTATCTCCAAACACAGGCCATGCTCATGGCCGGTACCGGTACATCATGGCGCCGCGTCATGTCGATGGTCGATCTTGCCATGAGTCATAAGAGTACCAGCAAGTCAGGTCGACAAAGGTCCAGGGTGGTCAGGTCCAAGGTCCTGCCCAAGCTCCAGGCCGAAGCAAGCTGAAGTTCCTGCAGAGGTTTGCAGACTCGCCACGTTGAGTCACATCTGCGTCATTGACATTTGACATTGAGTCACGACAAGGACCCTTTGGCCATGGAAAGGTAGTATCTGTGAAGAATAAAAACTCGACATGGGGTGTTAAGTGAAACAATACACACAACCTGTCTTCCAACCATACAATAATCACAATAATCACTACACAATACGCCCACGTTGGTTATCCATGTCCTCTTCCCCAACCCCCTCCTGAAGGCCAACAACCTGGAGACCTCCGACTTGGCTCTGGGCATCTCCGAACTGTCCACCATCTGGCGCCACAGACCCCGCGGACCCCACCGCGACGCCAAACCGGCTCCGCGAAGGCGGCGTTGAGACCGGACTCCCGCGCATCGGGACGTTTGGATCCAGCGCATCGGACGTTTGGGCGGGGGCGGGGGTGAAGTCGAACGCAGGAGACTCGAAAAGTGGAGTTTGGGAGGTTGACCATGAAAACGATGGAAGTATGTCATATGAAGTCATATACGATAAAGATGTGTTTGATCTCGAAACGGCAAATGTGGGCAACCAGTTTGGCTGAGTTTGGGTGGCTTCCATGCATCCATAAAAACATTGTTGGTGTTTGTCGGTGATGATCTTGGCGAATTTATGCTGCCCATTTTCTCTTGGTTGATCGATCCTCTACTTGCAGATCTTTCACAAACAGGCTCCACTTGGGTTGGGACTTGGCAAATCATTGGACGTCGCCCACAATCGCCGGTCAGGTCTGCGCGCACATCCATCCGAAGTAACGTCAGAGCTGAGTTCGGCGCTCTGATCGCCATGACATCGGAAGCCTAGCCATGACATCGGAGGTGACGGGCACTGGAAGAAACGGCGAAAAAAGAAACCATATGTGTGACTGAGATGGCATGACCTCAAACATGCAGCGCTCTCTCTCTCTCTCTCCCCTACTACAGAAGCAAACCGGTGAAGTTGACGAAGCATATAACACATACCAGTTTGGCCATGTGCAGCATGCAACCTGTTTGGGCGTCAGCTTCTGTGACATTCCGTCTTGCATTCTTGGCTCCATTATTGATCCACCAATCCATCCAAGTTGGAGTCCCCAAGATTTTGCACGACACTCCGCCAATCATCACATTTCAAAGGGCTGCTCGTGAATGTGGCACTCAGGTCGGCTCTGCTCAAAAGCATCGAACAACTTGTTCACATAACATTCGATGGAGTGGTCTTCGAAACACTCTGGCGTCAGGCGAAACTCTTTCCACCGAACATGTTGTCTATCAGCGCTCAATACACGCAGGGGTACGACATGTTCGTACTTCCGGGCAAAATCCTCGATCATCAGGAAATCCGGCCTCTCCAAAAGATGGGTTGCAATTTGTTCCACAACTCTGGAGGCCAATGTGCCCTTCACACTGCCATATGTGTCTTGCAAGCCTTTCTTCACAGCTAGCGTGGCTTGCTGGACAAAGTGTCTCAGGTTCAATGCACCCCAGGCCCGTGCACAAGGATCGTCAGAAAGGATGTAGTTGACAGCATGCTCTCTTGCGAAGTTTTTGAAATCCCTGGCCTTCTGGGAATTTCCTCCAAACACCATCGGAGCACCGAAAGTAAAGCTCTGCAAGTCCAAAGATGACAAGACCTCACTCAAACTGCCAGTACCTCTCATCTCTTTCCAAGCCAAGAACAAACACATCTGGGCATACATGCCTCCCAAAGAGTGGCCAGTGAAAACAACCTTGCGCACACCCTGCCCTCGCGCAGCAACCAAGCGGCTCAAAAAGATATCTGATTTCAAGAACTTTGTGCTTCTGATCGTGCTGGCAGTGCCACCGTGAGCAAAGAAGTCGGTTTCACCTGTTATCTCATGATCATGTTCCAAGTTCCAATTCAAGAAATCCAGCATGTAAGAAGTTCCCTTAAACACGATGTACAGAACCTTGCCCGTCGGCAAGTGGGCTGTCACGCTCGCAATCTTCAAAGACCTCCCAAAATCTCCAGGCTGGATCACCTTGTGGACTTCGAAGGAGGCATGCATCGTCTGAGGTGGTTCCGGGTCGTCTCCATAAATCCAAGAGCTGAGCAAAGCTGCCACCAAGTCAGCAAACTGGGGCGTGTTGTGGACATCACTCGTGGGCAACTCGAGGCTAAGGCGGCGAGCATTGGATGTGTTCACATCCACCACCAGAATCTTTTCAGCATCCTGAGGCACTGCCACCACTCGGCCGTTCACTGTGCAACTGGACCTAAATTTATCTCCTCTGTCTGCGCTGATGCCTGATG